AGTCAAGTTTGACTGCTATAGTCTGTATTGTAAACAGAGTGATTCATCATTCATGTTTTTTCTTCCCTCTCTTAGGCAACAGGATGAGCTCAAGAAACTCTTCACTGCATCCAAAGAGAAGTGCCCTGTCAAATTGCAAATGTATTCACTTCTCTGAGCATTGCTGGTCCTTTTCTTGCATTGATGTGCGTGTCCAGAAGTGCATCTGTCAGGTGATCTATTTTTAGTACACACTTATGGGTCACATGGTTAATCAGAAGCATAGAAACACACCTGCAAGAGTGAAATGATTAAGAACACGAATGCAAAGCACATTGGTTGAGAAAAAGTGTGCAACATTTAGGGACAATCTCCATTTGTGCGTGCAATGGACGACTTTCTAATCGACCTCTTGACATATACAGACCCGTACACTGGCAAGAAGAGATGCGCAATCCAAGCAAGTCTTGGGCAAAGTCCAGATATGGATCCAAGCTGGAAGATTCTCAGTTGATGATGGTACTCATGCGTTTTGTTCTTGTATTTTAGTGAGGTGGAAGAGTGTCCTTTATATATACCTCTATAAGTAGATGTTGTTCTTATAATTCCGTGCAGTCTATGTGCCTCCCATGTTTGTTCTTGCCTTGCCATGCAAACCTGAAATACAAGGATGGCTTGTGGCATGCTAGTTGAACAAGGAGAACAAAAAGACAAGTCAGCCAAACGGCGTTGTGTGCAGTGCAGTCTACCAGCAGTAGATGCGCCTCTGAATGACTCATGTCCTGGAAAGATAGCAATTTTCTAGTGCTGTTGTCGTTTCCTGCTTATTCTCCCTCTTTCAAAAGATTGTTGTTGTGAGAATGAAAGGATTCGAAGCGCCGTGAACTACAATTTCATCTAGAAGAAGTTTGCAAGTCGTTCCCAACGATGTCTCCAGTTCCCTGGGAAGTTCTTCGAAGCTGCTTGATCTTCAACCGTCTACCAAAGGCTCAACCTTCTCAGCCGACATGCGGGAAGATTTTGGCACACGCCAAGCGAAAAGTGGATGCATTCCGAGAGCGCATTGGAATAAGTGTGGCTGTTTTCAAGCTTGGGGTCACAGCGCATCCTGCGCAAAGGTTTCAGACATACTTGTCTAAGAATTTTGAAGAAATGTGGATAATCTACATGAGTGATGATGTGGCCTTAACTCACATGCTTGAAGCTGCATTGATAGCTTTGTTTTCCCATGCATCAGGGTGTCGCAATGAGGTTGGCACAGGAGGGGAGGGGGCACTGAACCGCAAAGTTCATGCAGGCCTTCCTTATTTCAATTATGTTGCAGGTGGCAGGGCTGATCAACTTAAACGTGTTGGTTAGCACTGAATTCTTAGTGCATGCGTGCATGTGTGCTTTTCTTTTCACACGTGCCTTTGACCTTTGACTCGGCTGTGAGCTTGAAATATACAATACTTTTCGTGCAAATGATGGACGCAGAGTTTGGGTGATGTTTGATCATGCAATTGGATCCAGGGTGTATACTCCAGTCACCTCTTCGCTGTTTCACTGTTCTCAGGTGTGGTCTGGCCTTGAACTTGTCGACTCGTGCACAGTCCAAGCCCTCAGCCTTTCCTACAGATCCCAAACATAGCACAGGTATATATTATATGTAATATTGTATGATCTTGCAGGTTCATATTGAGTCTCCATTTGCTTGGAGGCCCTTTATCAGCCACATGAAGGCCCAGGAAAAAAGGGCAATGAGGGAGGTTGAGAAAAGGGAGGCAGGCAACACGCCTGCTCCAAAGCGAGCCGCTAAAGTGAAGGTAGTAAAGAAGGAACCCAAGTAGCGAAAACAAGCTTTCTTGGGTGGTAGTGTCTGGGGAGACAGGAAGGGTGCTTTGCTTCATGTCTTCAAAAGGATGTTTTTAGCTTACAGGTTTGATGCTTGGAAAACAGCTTTGTTTGTGAGCAAGGCGAGCTTCCGTGATTGTATTTTGGGGTTATGCTTTTGGCAGGGATGACCTTGCTGAATCCAGAATGAAATGATCTGGATCGAAATTAAGTGGATTTGCTGTCAACTTAGCCAGTCGTTTTTCGAGCAACTGGTGCTGGGCAAGGGCAAAGATGCGCTTCTGCATTCACCCTGGCACAACAAATGAATGCTTGACAATGGTCTGTGCATGGACAGGTAGGAGCATGCTGGACTAATGATAAAACAATCTTGACTCGACTGTCTCTTTTGCACGTGTTGCCAGGTTCCACTGATTGTGAACCAGCGGGGCCCCTTCTGGAACATGTGATAGAGAAGATTGCTGATGGTGTATTTTGGCTGTGCTTGGTGAAGGTAGGATGCTGTTATATAATATGGGGAAAGTAGAGGATTTGTTTGATGAAGAAACTCGTTTCCAAGAGTGCCGAGGCAACAGCTTCCACTCTTCAGGAGCATGGTGTAGCTTTGCAATCAGAACTCCGGTGTGACCCTGCTTCAGCTTTGCATCCGTCCACGGTTTCAACCCTTGGCCGCAGCAAGACCAATGCTGCCCGACAATACAAAAGGGCCACCAAGCGCTTTGGATTTGAGATGATGCTAGCTTGTGTTTCAGGAATGCTTTCTTGTTGGGCTTGAGATGCATCAAGGGTTTGAGATGACAGTTTTTGTTTGCTGGCGTGCCAAGGAAAGTTCCGAACTCTTACCATTACTTTGAAGAGAACGGGTCTTGTGTTGATCTGCCTTTTTTGAAGGGAAGTGATGTGCTTCGCTACCTCCTCTCTGCCTACCCATCTGTCTTGATGGGTGGATTCAATCCTGGGCCACAAGTGCAAACTTTGTTCAAAACCTTCTGGAAGTTGTACCGAGTGGAACACCCAACTCATCAGATTTTTCAGTTGGCAGACCAAGGTGTTGTGGATTTGAGTTTTACAATACCTCTGGTGATTCATGGTGATGGAGCTCGTACATTGAAGAAGCAGCCATTGGAAGTGATTTCTCTACATCCAATCCTTGGACTAGACACAGGAAAGACTGGAGATAAATTCAAGTGCAAATGTTGTTCTGGTGAGGTCGAGTATGTGTCGGGGGATCCCACACATCCTTTCTCGCAGCGGCTCAACTGCCGTCACCATTCCTACTTGACGCACTTTTTGCTCTGTGCTTTTCCTTCCAAGAAGTACAAAAAACTTCCAGGGCTTTTACTATCTGTTTTGGAAACCATCTCAGAAGATCTTGGGCCACTGACTGCAGATGGTATTATGCACAATGGTTGTGTCTATCACTTTGGATTCTTGGGGATGGTTGGTGATCTTGAGTATCATGCAAAGACCGGACTGTTGAGCAGATCATATCAAAATGTTGGACATAGAAACTTCATCCCGTGCTGTCACTTGTGTGCTGCTGGTGGTCCGCTTCATCCTTTTGAAGACCTTACAAGCTCTGCTGCATGGAAAGGAACGGTGTACCACTCAGCTCCCTGGTCCTCAATGCCGCCGTTCCACCATATTGTGTTTGAAGATTGGTCTACAGGCTTGGCTGCCAGATGGTTCCTCTTGGATACGTTTCATCTATTCCGTCTGGGAATAGCAAGAAACTTTATAGCCTCAGCTGTACTTCTACTTTGTTTTGACTGCATGTTCGATTACAATGATGTGGGGGAGTCAAGAGCGGTCGATGCAAGACTTGGACGCGCATGGGCATCGTTCCACCTCTGGTGCGATACTGCTCGGGTGAGCCCCTCAGGGATTCGCGGGTTCACAAAAGAGAAGCTGCATTATCCAACTGCTTCATCATTCCCGTGGGTTGGCTGCAAGGGCTCCGACTCGATGTATTTGCTACGATGGTTAGAATGGTTCACAAGCTTACAGCTGGTTCACTCTGCTAGGACACAGTCGTTGATCCTGGTGAACAATGCTTGCAAAGCAGGTCTGGATTTTCAATCCATTCACAGACATGGAATCTGGCTTCAAAGAAGCTGTGGGAGGACATTGGAAGCAAATTGTCGTGGTTTCTTACATGCCTACGCTAGGCTGGCCAAACACAGTTTGGACCGTGGACTCACATTGTTTTCGATGGTCCCAAAGGTTCATGGTACTGCGCACATTTACCATCGCCTACAAATCTGCTCAAAGGACAGGTTCCGCTGCAACCCAGCATTGTGGGACTGCTCTATGAGTGAAGACTTTGTTGGTCGAGTTGCACGACAAAGTCGCCGGGTGGGGCACAGGCATGTGGTGGAGAATACCCTTCATGCGTACAAGGTGAAGGGGAAGTTGGAGCTAGATCGCTTGAAGCGCAAACGTGCTTTCGATCAGGTTGAGTGAAAACAAAGCATGGGATGGATGGACTTTTCTGGACTGACTGAAGTTGAAGCACCTCCATTGGTTAATTAAGTGGCACTCAAAGGTTTGCAAGGATATTGTTGTATTATCTTGATTCTTGTTGATCTACTGTTGGTGGGCAGCCATATCATCATGATGGAAACCAAACAACTGGAGTACTTTAAGGTTGGAATGCCGCTGAACCACCGCCTTGTCACTTAAGAGATACATCTTACAAACATCCTTACAGGCAAGGTTTGCTGGAACATTTGGCTGAATGTGTCATTTCCAGAAACTGCCAGGGGCAGAAATTTTGTTAAGGGCCTGATTCTGACTTGAGGGTCTTAAATTTCAATGTTTTTGTTCAGGGTCTAAAAAAGTGCAGGGGAGGAAGATGTAGGTATATATGTATATGTACTCATCCACTACCTCTTCCACTTTGGAATTTTGAATTTGACGATTGTCCCTGCAAATCAGGCCTGAAGACCAGAATGTCTCTGAACAGAGGCCTCCAAGATCTTGTGAGATATTGTGAGAACAGAGGCCTCAGATCTTCTTGGAGGATAGGCTTTGCCATATTATATTGTTACTGTTATATATCATCATTTATATATATATATTGTTTTAAAATGTGAGTATCATACATCTTGACCATTTTGTGTCATATAACACTTTATATCGTTCTCGTTTTTCAGCCGGCCCCGGCCCCGGCCGTTTTCCCCGCCCAGGCCATGCTGCAACGGTTCTATGACCCAGGTTCTGGAGCAGTGCTCGTGGGCCACTTGGCGTTCGCCGCTTCGTTCGCCGCAGAACGGGCGGAAGCACGTGCAGCACGGTCCGTCCGCGCGGAAACCAGGTGGAAGGGAACAGGAAAGCCCAAGTTTTTTTTGGGGTGAAAACAAGTGTTTTCTTCTTTTCTTCTGTAGATCTATGTAGATCTTCCAAACCTAATTCGTTGATCTATTAGTTAGCCTGTGGAGAATTCCAGGCCGGCAAGACCTATGATTTGGACATGATTTGGAAAGCTTACTGAGTCGGAGTGGATGGTGAATGGCTATATATCTTGGAAAAGATTGCTGTCCAATGGGTCGATCGACCAATGCATGCTCACTTGAACTCCACCAGTGGCGTCCTGGTGGTCTCATCAGGGGGAATTCCAATAAGCCCACTGCCCACTTGCAGAATTCAGGCCAGAGCCGCAAGCCCCTGCATGAGCTCAACATCAGGTGTGGACTGTGGGTCAACGGACTTTCTTATTGTGTCGACTTGGAATGACTGCACGGTTTTGACTGATTGGCTGATTTGGGCACTTGGACGAGACCCTCCCAGTGCGTATGATGCATATGTCAGTCCGTATGTCTAACTTCCCCGAATTGGATCTCGCCGCTGGCGCTGGGCCCGCTGGGCTCCTGGTGTTGGTTCAACATGCACACCCAAACATCAATTAGAGTGAGGTTCAGAGACACTAGGACCCACTATGTAGAACCTCCCAAGGGTCCGGGATTCCAGCTTCATCCAGTTTCCAAAGTCCAGAATTCCGTGCATTCCAACGTCAGCATCGAACTCCTGGCGTGTGCATGGCGTGGTTCCGGCTGAAAAACACAGCGCGGTCGCGCGGAAACTCGTCGTCCCCGGAACGTGCGGAAAACCTCGTGTACTGGGTGCCGAAGGGATCCAATCAGATCCTGGACGGTCCAGGTGGTGGCGCAAACAGGTGGGCTTTGTGGGGCAAGAACCGGTGCTCTTCGATGCCAGCGTCCTGGAGAATGCTTCTTGGCCGGAAAATAGCGTCGTGTATACAACCGGGTTGGTGGCGCGAGGGGGGTGGGCGGGGTGATGCGCAATGCCTTCCACCAGGTGCCTCAAGTTCGAGAGTATAGGTCAAGAGATGGTCAAGATAATGGGCAAAAACGAAAGGGCGAGGATATTGCTCGGTGAAAGACATGTAGATGACTTCATTGACTCCCCCCTTGACCATGCTTAACTGATCATGTTTCGGATCAAAGTTTAGCTGCGAGTGGACTGGACATGACTGGACATCTGTCCATGCATGTCAACTGTTTTAGCAGACTGCCCCCGAAGACAGGTCATTTTTGTTCACTTTGGGGGAGTCCCTCAGATGGCCAGGAGATTGACCCGTGTGAGCTTTCGTGTTTTGGGAGGGTATGAGTTTCAGGGACCAGAAAATCGGGCCCAGCCACCCCCGGCCACGTTGAACTAGACGTTTGCATGGGAGAGCGGTCAACACATGGGATGGTCGGACGATGTAGCATTCAACACACCATACCAGAAGGCGTTTGACATGAGATCCGATCCCGCGGCGGCCAGGTGATGTATGGACTGGAGAAAGGAGAAACGGCTTCACCTGAGCACTTGGAGAAGTGTAAGACCATGACGAACCTGAGCTTCATTGACAAGGCCGCTGAGAAGGAGGATTTTTTTTTTTCTCGCCGGTGTTTGTTTAGAAACGGACTAGAATAGAATAGGTGCTTGAGAAGTAGGGGGCCCTCTAGACAAAGGATCCTCTAACTCACCAACGAAGCAGCTGGCACCATTCCTTTTTGGAGTAGACTCTCGCCTGGCTGATGAGAGTCGCCATTCACTTCCATGGAGTTCTGTGTTGACTAACCTGAGTGGTCGTATATGGGTCATCAGAGACCAAAAAATCACCGCCTACTGCGAGCTCAGTGAGTTTCCTAGTCTTTTGGGTGTTTGGGAATTTGCTGAGTCACTACACTTACTTGCCCCTCCCTGCATCTCCCTATGAAAAACACGAAATAGTGGACACCTCCCGGCCACTGGAAAGTCTCTACCAAATCAGGATGCACTGAACCTAGGTGATGGTTTCAGATATTTCTATTTTCAACCCTTACTTGGGGATGATTGGATCCTCTGACTCAGATTTTTCAAGTGGGTTGAAAACACCAACCAGTAACACATGCCTTGGAACTATGTGTTGCGAGGTTACGCAGCGTCGCGACCTTGCGACCTGGCGAGGCCCAAGGATGGAACACCCAGGTTGGACCTCGTGGTGGACGCTTGTCAGGCATGGTGTGTTCCTGCGTGTTCTTTAGACCAGGAGTCACAGGGAGGCCAGGGTGGTTTGGCTGGTCCCATTCAGGGGCCGTGGATGTGACGACGGGGCACCCCGACTACCTCCATGGATAGCACCCCGTCTTGTGACTGCTGGCATTTGTGTGGTTTTCTTCTTCAGACTTCAGACCTTTCTTTAGGTTTTTTTTAATGCGTCAATGGCTTATAGCCATGTCTTGGGTACAGCACGGAGCTGCTGAGATTTGGCAGACAGACGGGCGGCCCCAAGCACTCAGCAGCTCCGGTTGAGTCGCCAACGCCAGGTGGGCAGAAGCAGCGCGTGGCCATTTGTCGAGCTTTGATGCGAAATCCACCCATCTTGTGCCTCGGCAAATCGGTTCCAGCTGAGGAGCTGTGGAGCTGATGATGTTTAGGTCGGTCCATGGATTCAAGAATTGCATCTTCCTGGAGTCTCAGTTTGCACCTCGGAAAATGGAAAGAAGTATCTGTTTTTTATAGGGTCATGTCATGTCATGTCCCATTTTCTCAGGTACTTTGCAGGGTCCAGGTTCTTGGAAAGTCCGTCCCAAAAGAGCTCCAAATTGTACGTGGCTTCAGTGACCCTAATTGACCCCACCCTCCAGCGAAGCATCGATGTCACAATAGCGTGACTGGCACATGTTTTTGGTCGCGACCGGGTTGGGCCAAGAGGTCTCCCTCTCAGGTCTCCCGGGTGTCCAACCCCACAAGGTCGTGTCGGTATCACCGCCTACTCAGAGGCTTGGTGATGTTGGTGGATGATCCATATAGGTTGGGTCTGTCCGTTCTTGCCTGTAACAGTCGGTCAACAAGAACATCACTCTTTTTGAGATGGATGTTGGCCTGCAATCGTGCCGGCCCCATCATCCTCCACGTTTGGGGCCCGGATGACGAATTATAGGGATATGATGTTCTTCATACCCTCCATCCAAACATGGTGGTGACGTGGGTGCCATGGCCCCGAAAGCACGCACGCACGCAAGACGGCTGTATTCCAAAACCTTCCACCGAGACCGGGACTTGCCAACCAGAACTGTGGACTGGTCGAGGCTCTTGGATGAAGCGACCAGCGCTTTGGACTCCCAAAGTGAGCGCGTGGTGCAGAAGGCCCTGGAGGCGGGCACGGAGGATGGCACGGTGGGAGGCACGGTGGGTGTTGTTTCGTGTTTTGGTGATTTTCCGTTCCTAGAGATTCATTCTACCAGAAAAATTCTGGGCGACCCCTGGTCAACCATTGTTTCTGGGTGTTTCTGTTTGTTTCTTTGTTGTATTTCCGTTGCTATTTGTGTTTGGGTTGGGTGTTGTTTCGTTGAGTCACGAGCTAGTTAAGTGGTTAACTTGTTGTGTGTACCAGAATTGAGTCCAGTTCTTTTTTGCTGTTTAGGACGGTGGAAAGCAGCGCTTTGCTACCGGGTGCCCTGACTCCAAGCTGCAGCAATCCCCACAGTCAAAGAGGGCACTTATTATACACGAAATCTTAAGATAACTGACATTGTGTGCAGTACATGTTTTTCATCTTTCTTTACTAAAGACTAAATCATACTAAATCTATAAAATCTCCAAGAAGGTCCTTGGGATGTTAGTTTTTCTTTGAGGTCCACCTACCTTCTCATGATTGCAAGAGGTTTTCATTCACATCCTCTTAGTCTTCCCCATGTGGGTGGAAAATCCTCCACCTCCCCATGCGGGCGGACGTCCCACCTACCAAGCGCCCCGAGCCGGCACAGCGTCGCTCCAGGCAGCGAAGCAGGGACGCACCTCCATCGTGGCTCGGTCCGAGTTTTCACCCGGCAACGGTTCAGCGGTGGAGGTTGGGGCAGAGGTTCCTCCTTTTGGTGTCGAAGGTGTCGATCCAAACGAAGTGATTCATCGGATTCATTGATTCCCAATCTCCACGCGGTTTTGCTCTGAGGCTGCCATTTGGACCAACCACATGAAGGAGCTCGATTTTGGACCAACCAACCAAAACGATGATCCAAAGCACCTACACTTCCTATATCCAATGGAAAGCGGGGGTTCATTCGGGGGTGTTCCAATCGGTTTCCCGACACGGGTTTTGGGGTGCTCGCCTCGATCCCTCGAATTCGTCCTTCGCCGCCCGAGGCGATCGCACATCGACTGTCAACGATCGAAGACTGCAGCTCGGTGCCGGTCGAACGGGCAGCTCGGTGTCGCGGACCGCGGTCGGGAGAACCGTAGGAGAATAGTTCATGATCATGAATTACTATTACTTATCACCCAAATAGGTTGGTTTTAGATTCACTGCATGTTGCAGTTGCCCTGTGTAACGATTTGTAGTTCCTTTGCTTGGCTTTTCGCTGGTGTGGCTTGGAGATACTTGTTGGACAGCACCGTGGACCACCTGCAAACCACGATCAGGACTGTTGGATACTTTTCCTTTGCTGGTCGAACCGGGTATAGTTTAGGAGCTGACAAAAGCGCTCCGGTTCGACTCTCCCCGACTGCAGCATTTTTTATTAATGTAACGCACCTGACAGAATATATGACAGGCATGGCATAGCAGTAGAAACACGAAGCTGCTGACTCTTTTGATTGCTTTTTTTGGGAGGAGCATGATGAAGTCTCCGCACATGTATAGCGGTTTGCATGTGGCTTTGGAAGAAGAGATGCCTTGATTTCATCATGCTTCACGGAATTGGATACGATTGCACTCTTCAAGTGGGCTCAGCTGGACTGCCACGTCTGAGGTGTTCTGTTGCACGTCTCCCTTGGGATTCACTGTTGCAGTGCATCAACCCACCCCCCCCAGTCGCTCGCGCGGCAGGAGAGGAATCATTTTTGTCGGCCTTGTTTCGGTGAAGGGGCCTTCGTTTTCTCCGGACCTGGATCTCTTGAGGCGACATCATCCTGGTGGTGGCCGAGGGGCAAATTGCCGAAACTGGAACCCATGCACAGCTGATGGAGCGCAAGGCCATGCATCTAAATTCTACGGATGTGGATGGAGCATTGATGAACCAAGTCGCTCACTTCTGGGGCTTGGAGACATGTTCTCGACTTGGGGAGATGTTTGGTGTATTTTGGTGTGTTTGGGTTGAAAATGGCCGGAAATGGTACAGGGTATATATATCTACGCGATTGTGCACATGAAGGCCAAAAAGGCATGCAGCCGGATTGAAAAGGCAAGGTGTAGAAGGCAACTTCGATCCCTCCAGCGAAACGTGTAGAAAAACAATAAAAAAACACCCATCAACGCAACTCAACACCCATCAAGTCTCGATCCCCAATCATCCAAGCGCCAAGAAAGGCGCTGCAGGTGGGGAACGGACAAAAACCTTCTGCATGTGATGGCCATGGCGAAGCCACATCCATCTCCATCCATGGTGATCCATCGACCTAAACCTGCGTCCGTCATCGGATCTTTTCGGCTGCATCGACGCGACGGCCACGTCCGTTTATTCCGGATCCGTTTCGTTCTTCCCTGACGCGTCCGGACGCGAGCTGCTCGGTGGAGGCCTATCGCTACGAACGAAGCAATAAAGGCATAAACCAGCAGTCACAAGACGGGGTGCCGAGCGAACGGAGGAAGTCGGGGTGCCCATTGAACTCATAACTCCCCTTGGTGACTCCTGGTTCTTTCTTTTTGTAACGCCCGCTTTCACCACGAAGCACGGGCGTTGGACCTCCCGAACGCGCCGAGCGCCCAGCGGCTCGGATGAGGTGAGCTAGTTGGGGGATGGGAAGCCCCATCCATGTTTTTTTCTCGAACCGGAAGGAGTCACTGAAACATGTAGCATATACTCCTTGGTGGTTTCTTGCCCTTCTTACTATGTAGGTCTGCGTTTGCATCTTTTAGTTTAGGAGTTCATATGGCCATGTTTTCCAAGAGTTCTGTGGTGCCCAGGTGGTCCAAAAAGTTGGGGCCCAGGCTCGTCATATCGCTTAGCTCGTCATATCCCAGACACGACCTGTGTGGGACTGCCATAGGACTGCCGATCAATTGACCCCCCTGGCACCACCCCAACTGATGGGCAGTCCTATGGCAGTCCCGTGGAGCGTCTGGGTATTGCTTGATTTGCTTGCTTCAGGGCGTGTACTACAAGCTGCAGCAGGGAAAGAAGGACCACTAGACTCACTAGACAGGCTGGACCCCAGTCGTGTAATGCGACAATGTGCCATGCATGTAAGAAACCATCTTATGCGGTTTCAGGTTGTTGGGGATCATCATGTGGACGTTGAGCCGTTGAAACACTTTTTTCAATATGTATTCACTACTTATGCGGTGAAGCTGGGGAGTGCAATTTTTGGTGCAATTTTTGTCCTGTAGCTCTACCCGGGAGTTGTTCCACTTCAGGTTGACTTGATAGTGTCAAGGGTGTTTATTTGCACTTGCATCCCTCATGTATACGGTCACACGTTTAGCGACATGTAAACCATGTTGGCACATGTGGTATAATATACCAGCTGCTTCCGTTTGGGGTCACCCATGAACAACCCCACACTATAGATGTATAGGTCTCCATTGCACCCAATTGAAGACATTCTGAGGATGGGCTGCCCAAAGTGTTCAATGTGTCGCCTGCTTGTGATGTTAAGATATTCTCACACATCTCACACTGAGTTGTCGGATGGTGTGATGTTGTCTCACCAAATAAGAACCGCAGATGTTGGGTGTTTCCTGCATGTGGTGTGGCTGGCTCATGTTGGACGGAATGTTGCGGGTTTGGAGATCACACAGTCGGTTTGGGTGGCTTGTTTTTGGGCGACTCTTTCAGTGTTTAGATGCACTTTGCAAGGCAATTGGGGAGCTACAAAAGGCCATTTCGCCGCTTGTGACCCAACCTTCCAGAAACATCTCCTGAGAAAAAAAGCTTCTAAAACGATATGTTGATCACTAGCTTCCACCAACACCGGACATGAATGAATTGTTGCTTTCCTTAGGCCGAGTCCAAACTGCTCGTTTGGACTGGGGGCCGGCTTGCTAGTGGGCCACCTTTTCGTACCTTTGTCAACTTCCGTCGGTTGGAATCGAAATGATTCCGTGCACGGAGAGACTTTTGGCCAAACATGTCCCTTCCCTGGTCAAATCTCCAATGTTCATAGAACTTAATGAAATGACTATACCCTAGCCTTCCAAGACCATTCACCATTAATTCTAAATTCCTTAGTATAAGACAATGGTTGCTGGGCCCAATTAAACCCATAGTGCTTGGAATCCTAGGGAATAGTCACGGCACAGGAGTGATCGGACCTCTCACCAGGGAGGGGAGTTTGCGTTGTGCGTTGCGCCTTTCCACCTGAGATGGCCAAGTCACTCGCTGAGAACGTCACGGTCGGCGCGGCCCATGTTTGAAGATCGGCCGGATCGGCCGACGCTTTGTGCGCCGGGTGAGCATTGGCGGGGAATCCGGACACCAGATGCAGCGTTGAGGTGGCACAAGGTTCCTCCTTTTCGCCAGAGACTGGTGCCGGGTGGATGCCAAACACTGTACGTGAAAAAGCAGGAGTGATTGACATCGACATCGTGGAGACATTTGGGGCTTGATTCATCGATACATGACCAAACACAAAAAAAATCGGTTTCACCCGAACAACATCGTCAAACAACTTTCGGGTGGAATGTGTACGATTGGGATACTGTAGATCAGATTTAAATCATTTCAATTCTCCTGGTTTTCGATTGTGTTTCTGCACAAGACACCACAACCATCGAGCGAACCAATCGATCAAAGCTGCATCCCGCATGACCTTGCGATAAGACTGGGTTCCGGGAACCCTGGATCATCAACTCAAGACCCCCAAAAGGACCTGAAGCTTTCGCCAAAACATGCCAAAACATCCAAAAACCATCCAATTTCCCCACTCCGGATTCTTCCCCCAACAACTCCGACCGACCGGCTTCTCCCCTCGGTTGATCCACCACTGCCTGTAGCTCACAGATCGACCAGAGCTCGACCAGAACTCGACCTCGCTCGACCACTCCAGCGACCCGCGAGGTCTTGCGGAAGCACCTGGGCATCGCCGAGAGCCAAAGCTGCCGCAGCTGCCTGCGCCGCGCCCGGTGTCGATACTTCAAGGCGGGGCGAAGCGAACGGACGTCGGGCGCCAACGGCAGGGAGGGGTCGATCCCTTCGAGACGTTCCGAAGGGCGGCGCGGCGCGGAAGACCTTTTGCGTGCCTAGAAGTTGTCAAATTTGGTGTTAGACCTTATACGGTTGGTACTTTTTGGAGGGGGTTCTACTCTCCTCAGTTTCATGGCAGAGAAGGGGGTTCTTCTCATGTTCGTTCATGGTCAGGACTCTTTGTCCAAAAGAATGTCTCCAACGGACAAATTGTGAAGAGGAGGTGATTTCCCCCGTCAACCCTTTAGAGTGAGATTGACGAGAGGTTGCTCTCGACCATGCTCGAGCCTCTATTGTGCTGCCCACACATATTTTTTTACAGGGCTTTTTGTTGGCATAATGTGCGTCTTGACCTGACCCCTTCTGATAAAAGATGCTCCCAACACGGCCACCGTTATGATTTCACGGAAAAACATGACAAAGCTGACCCATCCACTGGAGAAACAGTGACACAGAGCCGGCAGTTGCCCCCAGAGCCGGAGATGCAGCTGGGCGTCCGGCATATCGGTGACTTGGGCACGTCAAGGGAGACAAAATGTGGTCAAATCAGTCAAAGGCTACTCCAGTGTTACAACAGTTGAGGTGAACCGACGTCTAGGAGGTTTCAACCTCAACCCCGGTTGCTTTCCGCGAAGCTATGTGTGCCGCTGATCTTTGGGTCATGGGTAGGAGAGGAAAGACGAGTGATTGATCTTCGTGGAGCCCAGTCGTCCCGTCCGAAAGTTGAAATTCTTCGAGTCAGTTCATGCAGCCAAGCAGAAACGCCGCACCGGAGGGCACGTCCGCTGTGAAGCAGAAGTCTTTTGTAATCGTAGCAATGATGTGTAATTAGTGGAGTATGATCCACCAATCAACTGTCAAGCGACCGGTCTTGCTTCAGAGCCCATAAAGGAGGCTATGAGAGGCCCCCCCTTTCTCAGTAGTGTTGTCTCACCATCTAACCATCCCGACCCACTGTCCAACCGTCGAACCGTCTAACCGCCACTTCGGGGTTCCAAGGTCGCGTGCTCCTGGGCATGGCGCAATATGCCCGAGCCCATTTGCAGTTCCCAGACGCCTATCCGTGGTACTTCAGTGACGCCAACTTGGCCTCGGCGCGGCATCTCATGCAAGCCATCGAGGACGGTTTCGAGGGTTCGAGTTCCGAGCGAAAGTCTGGCAATGAAGATCACCAGCGGTCACCCCCCACCAGCAAGGTCGAGCAAATGACCTCGCGCGAGGAGTTTGAGCTGAGTGAAATAGGATCGACCCCCCAGATTGTCCGTCCGGCTGCCGGCTGTGCACAGCCACTGGCTGGGGCAGGGGGTCATTGCACATCGCAGATGAGGGTCTCTCTCACAGATCCCCCGAACGCACGGAACTTTGCAGACGGGAGAGCTGGTGATGTTCACATGTTTGCCATAGAACGGAATTTTCATTCGTTCAGCACCATCGGTGGGTGCTGGATCAGCGTCTTCGTGCGACGAGGAGCACACAACGAAGACGGAGGGGGTGCCCTTCTTTTAGCGTCCCAGCTGCGCTGGTGTTGAGAGTTTGGCTCTGGGAGCTGTGAAGCTTTAGTGCTTTGTTATTTGGACCTTGGGATTTGGGACAGCTATGGACAGCTGAGCTTTGTTTTGTCAAAGGTGATGTTGAGTTTGCGTAGTGTACCTGCATCCGCATCCCCCCTTTTTTTTGAGGCTCGCCATCCAGTTCATAGAATCTGGGTCACCAATGATACTACAGTACTACACGCATAGTTATACACATATCACTACCCCCTTGCGGTGCTTGACCCCCCCGGGGGGGTCAAAATTGTAAGTTACATTTTTTGATTTTACAACAATAGCCTTATATAGCCCTATAGGGGGGGGGGGTGAAAATTGTAAGATCTAGGGTTGAGGTAGCCTATGTGAGGATGTTACTTTTTTTGACCCCCCCCCCCTGAAAGAGGTCTTGGCCTACTTCTGGAGACTCTGAAAGGAGGGGGGGTAGGCCAAACAAATGGCCTACTTCTGGAGACTCTGAAAGGAGGGGGGGTAGGCCAAACAAACACACACAAGGGTCAAAAATGTAACTTACATTTTTGACCCCTGTCTTGTGAGATGGAGGTACATCAGACCTGTATGTTCAATTTTCACCGTTTTCCAAAACCTGCATTTTGACACATCCGAAATTGTAAATTACATTTTTGACCCCCCCCCGGGGGTAAGGCAGTAGTGATATACACATACACACGACTTCTGAACCTCAATGGGGCACTCAGAATGGATGGTAGTTGTAGAGACGGGTTGTCCTTTGCCCAGACGGCCTGTGGTCTTCTCGGGGGGGGGAGGACGTCCGCCCCCAAAAGTGATCGAAAGAGAACGAAGGGCACTGCCCGGCACTGCCCAGCAAGAAACATTTTTTGTTGAGAGCTGGCCACTGTGAGCGTGCGCTTTTTAAGGAATTGATTTATATTCAAAACACTAGAACATATAGCATAGGAGGAACAATATAAAGATGCAATAAAATTAAGAGAGCAGGTAGTCATGGGGGTGGGGGTTTTGAAAGTTGTGCTTTTGGAAAGTTTTTCTCGTTTTGCAGATGATATGACATTGATAGGGTTGTGAAAGTTGTTCTTTTGTAAGGTTTTGCTCTTTTTGGTGATGATAATGATATCACATCGATATGATGGTGAAATGTGTGTTTTTTTTGCTCTATGTGCAGTTGGTAAGCATATTTGTTCATTCAACTCTGTACTACAAAAATTACTAAATCCATAAGGTTAGGTGTTTGCTAACAGAATTGAATGTAGTAATGTAATTCCACGCAGCCCCCATGCAAAACCATATTTCTTGCCTTTAGAGTGTGAATTGCATTGCTTTTATTGAATGCAATTGGGTAAGTAAATCAGAATCAGAAGGCAAATCAATACAAAACCTAAATAACGAAATTCTAATTTGATTCTTACTTAATTCAAATCTATTTAAATTCAAGTTTAACTCTATTTTAAAATTGTGTTTTATTCTACTTTGATTCAAATTTCCTTCACTATAGGTTCAAACTTATGTGGGATTCAATGCAAGCTACCTTTCATTTCCTTGCTATACAAATCAGATTCAATTCTAATATTATATTTGTTCAATTTAATTTTTGGTTTTATGAAATTCTCATTTACTTCTAGGTAATTGGTGTTGTTTTCAGCATGGGAGATTGTGTTTTATTAAGTTTGTCCAACATGGAGGCATTTGCTTTATTGCATGAAATAAATTCACACCCCCAGCAACACCCACTCTCTAGAATGAAATGAACTTAGACCTAAAATGTACAGAAATCAAAATTAAATTGCAATGACAATAGTGTAAATTAAATGTGTAAAGCGATTGAATCTGAATTGTACAAGGGCACTAACATTAGAAATCACTTACAAATAAATTGGAACAGGCAAAATTACAATTTAATCCAGTATAGAATGAAATAGAATTAAACTAGAAATAAATTGGAATTAAGTTAGTTGGATATTCTTTTTGTTTTTTGGTCACTTTTGCGCAGACCAGCCAAAACAAAAAAAGTTCAGACCCATGGAGAGATACCCAGCAGAGGCTGGACAGGAGACATAGCTATGAACTTTTTGTTTTTTTTTGTTTTATGAATTGTATTGATTGTAGGCAGATGCTCACAGATGCTCACAGCTGACAGATGCTCACAAAGACACTGTTTTGCGCACGCTGGTGGTAGCCTGTTCTGTTTTTTTGGGGGGTCCCGGGTGTCAGGCCTTGGTGTATGGGAAGAGATGCAACTTGAGTTCGATTTCTTTAATGCACAATGAGCCATTGAACCCATTGAACACACCACACACACACACCTCCCGGTGCCCCCACACCTCCCCTTAGTGCGCGCACTGTGCGCACTCGCCGCTCCGGCTCAGCTCGGACGTGGAATTGGCGGACGAGGGCACCGCGCGGGAGGTCTTGCTGCGTGAGGCCCAGCGGAAGGAGGCGCAGACGGCGGTCGAGCGAGTCGAGCGAGTCGAGCTCGTCGCGCATCGGACGACCAGTCATCGGCGGAAGGGTCGTTGGGGCGGGGGTGAGCGAGTAGGAAGGTGTTGGGAGGTTGTGGCATAGAAAGGACCAATGGCCCGTTCACTTTGGATGATTTTGATGGAGAGCCAGTTGGAGCATGTCAATATGTAAAGGCACTTCCTGGATGTTTAGACAACTTGCAGCGCAGTGAGTTCGAGGTGCATTCAGTATCGATCACGTCAGCTAAGCACCAGGCACTGACACCCAGCAAGGAATTTCCAAGAGGTCCTGCATGCCTTACATCTCGTACCCCTTGCTTCAGATCACCTGCTTCTTAGTCACTACTACTCTTCACCACCACCCAGTTCAGTTGGTTGAAAAAGGGTTTGTTGATGTTTGTTGAAAAAGACTCCCCTGACCTATTGTCTCCATTTGCCAACACCACCCAGTTGGCTGCTGTTGGCGCGGTCCGGCCTGAATCGAACGTCGACACCGCGGTCGAATCGCCGCCGAAGAACGGCGTGCGCCGCCAGGAGAAGCGAATGGGAGAGCTGGAAGAGAGGCCGTGGAGTGCCAAACATGGGACGTCCACGACGTCAGAGCGTATAGATTCCAATTAGTAGTAACAAGTGCATCGCTTCTAGTAACAAGTGCCTTACTAGTAGTAACATATTAGAAACAAGAATCCTAATTACGTTTAATTCTAATTGTTTCTACTAGCTTCTTGTTCCTAGTAGCACTTGTTACTAGAAGCGATGCACTTGCTAATAGCTTATTGTTTCTAATTATATATATTGTTTCTACTAGCTTCTTGTTCCCGGTAGTAAGGCCAGGAGCCCCTAGTAGCTTCTTGTTCCCAGTAGCGATGCCCTTTGTTCCTATTAGCTTCTTGTTCCTATCATAGATGACCTACCGGGAGTTTTTGATAGGGTCTTTGATTCGGAACGTTCACACAGGCCAAGGCCAGACACCTACAGCACTGCTTGAGGTCTTCATCCTAATACCCAGCATCTCCAATCATCTTAAATGCATTTCAAACGCCCTCCAAACCCTGATGATCCCGATGACACAGGACAGCTCTCTCAAAGACCACGGCTGCCACGGTGACAAAGATATCTAGAGCTGTGAAGAAAAAACAAACAAAACAACAATAGCCTCATGTCAGATGCAACACCTGCAACACCCCTCCTCTGGCCTGGCACGCGGCCCCTTCACTCGACGGGCACTCGGCCGCCCCGCCAGACTCCTCTCCCTGCCGCAGTGGATGCGCGAGACCTTGCAACCGATCCCAGGTGCGTTGATCCATCGCCCAAACACTCCATGGGACTGGCATGCCGTGCCGTTTGTGGCCTACATTCATGAACCCCAGGTCCAACAGGTCCACATGCCAGTCCCAGACCACCTGGTCTGGGTAAGAGCTCGTGAACGTCCACTCTTCGACTTCCAGACGACGACATGTCGACTTTTTTTTCGGACCGTCTCCAATTGATCCATACGAGATCGAGCTTGCAATTCATAGCAAAACACGGACGTTCATTTTCTTCGAATCACGCCGTCCACAGACCCAGGACACCGACAGACGAAAGCTCTAGGTGTGTCGTTGAGCGGAATTCGGCGCGACGAGGTCCAGGCATGACGGCACGCCAGCGCAGCATTCTGTCGGAGAAGGGCATCAAAGAGGCGTCCCCCCGCGCCGTGGGTGGGATCGGTGATGTTTGGGCCCCCATGTTCAATTTAGGGGATTGCTGGCCAACCGTGTTTTTGTTTGTAATTTACCAAGCAACCCTTGTTTTGTTTCAGACTCAAGAACCAGGTCCACCATGTTTGAAACGGTCAAATTTTATCAAATTGACTCAACGCATTGCCCAACGGTCTTACTTGGGATCAGACTTTTTGGACAGGTGTTTACCATGTGAACATGTGCACCCAGCGCCAGAAGTTGGGAAGTTGCTTCTCACAGGCTGGCAGCAGGTTGCAGGGGGCATGAGACATGCCGACATGTCATGAGAACATGATGAACCTGTTCCAAGGATCTCCAAGGCACTTTACAAGATCGCCTTCCAGATTGCTCCAACACAGTAACTATACCCAGGATTTTGGGTTGTGAGTCATCATTCAATGATGGACGAGTCTTCATTCAGCGATCGCTGCTCAGCTGGCTGTTCAGCCAGCTGAGCAGCGTGTGCGTCAACGTGTCTTTCACGTATTTGTGAAGCATGGCGGAATGACGGCTCTGCATGATCATCAGAGCAAACCAAAACGAACGCATTGGACAATCCCCCAGGTGGATGCAGAGGATGCCTACCTGGATGAGGAGAAGCCTGAGAAGGAGACGGGGACATACGGGTACGGCGGTGTTTTTTTGTTGAGCTCATGCATCGAGACTTCAGAGAAATCCACCAGTTGGATAGGCTTCAAAAAAGCGAAGCCAAAGCCACCTTCGCGAGGACTGGATCGAAGAGGGTGCGCAGCTGGGTGAGCTGCACGGCTCGCCTCTCTTCGACCCTTTGCCAGATGCCGATGCCTCGCATGCCTCGGGGAAGTCTTCCTCTCTTCGACCGCTGGTGGAGGCGAGGTTCCAACCATTTGTTTTTTCTCGGGCGAAAGGGTTTTTTCTCGATTGTTCCCAAAAGAATAATCGAATCATCAATTCGGCCGACATGAACTCACAACTTAAAGCAGTTCTGAGGTGGAATTCGGTCGAAGCTTTGGAACAACACTGCCGTGCCTCAAGGTGGAGAGTGTGCAGGAGAAGCCGATGGTGAAGAGAGGCTCAGCTGGAGAAGCTGGGGGGTTCGTTCACCTGGCAGCCGGTGAAAACCAGCTTTTGCTCGGGGAATTCGGGGTTAGTTTAATTCGCTGCTGAGTGAACCAATGCGGTTGGTCCACGTAACAGTTGTTTTTGATGAATATGGAACCCGGAAGCCTCAAGCTTTCTCGGGGGTCTTGCACTCAGGGGTTTGGCTTTTAAGTGATTTTTTGAAGCCAAACCACGCAGTGGTGAGGAACAGATTGACAACTGTCAGGAGTGTCATCTCTTTATGATCTTCATAGTGATCTTCATATATGTTCATGCGTCATGCCGGTGCATCTTTACAATGAAGGTGAAGTCGAACATGCTCAACCCACACCGCCGAAATGCATCACAACAGGGCCAAACGACCAGTTTACGTGGTGTTCATAATGTTCATATGATCTCTATATATATATATATACTGTAAATATATTACTGTAGTTCATCACCAAGAACAGGGAACACCATGGACAAATCCGGACTGGCGCCCTTACCACGCAGCACCTGACCCTTGCGCAGCTCCGGCTTTGAGCCGAGCCTCCCAGCGATGGCTGAGGATTCGTCCATTTGCCGGGAGGGCCGAAGGAGAAGCCCGTGAGCATCGTGGACGCCAGGAGCCACATGTCTGAAAGAACATATATATATATATATAGAGTAGATTTCCTTTCATTTAGGTTCATTTAGGTCTCATTGCTTTGCATTTAGGTCTTTCAATTCTGGCTCAGCCACACTGACCATACCACATTGCCCACACGCAGTCATCCAGTCGATACTGTTTTTCTTCTTTCTTCATTCGTCTCAGTGTCAGTGAGACGAATCAGCGGGGCTCCGCTGTCTCCAACACTCTGTCTTGGACAACACTTTGATGGAAGATTGACAATTGGTGTAAATTGGATTGAGTTTCGAATCGTGTCTTTGAAGTCTTAATCATGGCCAGCTCTCTCAGAAAGTGGGCCTAGCATCTCTCAGAAAGTAGGCATGGCATGCCGAGCCAATGCAACCAGAATCTCCACTGCATCCAAACACTTCTGATGGTTGACACGTTCTGATGCTAATTAGTAGTTAGATCACCAATTCTGCCAACACATTTCCCCCCCGCCCACGCTTTCATCAGCGCTGTTCACACCAGAGCCTGTGCTTGCCCGGCGCCGGTGGACGGCGCCGGCCACAGGCAGGATATTACGGCATAACAGCAAACCGAAATGATATTGCGCAAAGGGGGGACATACACCACGAAGAGCATATTGCGCAAAGTGGGAATCACTATAGTGAGCATGCGGAATGTCGTAATAATAAAGGTTGACATGAAGCTGAACATCTTGGCATCACTTCATCAAAAAACAAAACTATCCAATTCAATGTTATGAACGCAATTGAATGCAACCCAAACTGATTTGTCCGACCGATTCCTGAATGCTGTCATCATTGAAGGGGTCGTTCTAAGATTCAATGCCTGTTTTAGGCAATTCCTAAGCTTGTCCAACTAAAGGACAAAATTCATGCCATGCTCCATGGCTGGCTTGGGGTCAATCAGACCAAGACAAATCCATTTTCACTATCATCATCGGCTGGCTGCTCATAGCCTGCTCATCTTCTGCTTGTCCTGGCCCTGCTGATGCTGGTGCGGAATTCCTTGATTCGCCTGCTGGAGAGGCTGCTGATGGCTGCAGGGTCATTGACCCTGCAATTGCCACCTGCGGCGACCCAAAGGAATCACCCTTTCCATTTGGGGCGGAGGTAGCGTGGGCGGTGGAAGCAAGGAGAACTTGTCCAGACACCCCATCAGTAGCATTGCACGATGCTGCTCGCGCAAGACCTTGGGCCGAGCTTCAAACCTTCAAACAGTGAGAAAAATGTAAAAGGTTGAACTTCAATTGTCAGGTGACCAGGAAATAGATGAACAATATACTCAAAACAGGCTAGGCTGCAATGTGCGGGGCATAGGTCAAGTCCAACGTCCACACCAATCTCGGCAGCACTTTTGCACCAAAGCAGCAGGCCCAATTTTGGAACTCCAAGGAGTTTCCATCATCTGCCATGCGCCACTTGCCAACTGACCCAATCGCTGGATTCTGGCTTTTCCTCAGCCTTCTAAAGGTGATTGGCCCTCCAGCGGCCGTCAAGATATCCACCATAGCGGAGGCGCTTTGCCGAGAAGTCATTTCTTCCTGGTCAGACCCTTTCCGCTCACGCAAATAGCACCATTCGTGCCACCGATTTGCACGGTGGTCTTAAACTTCAAGATCAATGTCTTCTCGCCAGCCTGGTGCACCTCCCTGTGAAGCTGTGGGTTCAGATGGATGTCCATGGCCTGGCTGGCAAGGTGAAGGTCGAAGAAATGTTTCAATGTGTTCATTCATTGGTTATCAGACTGAGGTCATAATGCAATCAATGTACTATTCACCCAAGACCTGATGGCGCCTTCGGATGGAACTGTGAAAGAACACCAAGAGAACCATTCTGGCACCTCCAGTGTCCCAGTGTACCTGTCCCCACCCTGGCGCCTCCATCCACGAGCCCCAAGGTTGCTCGCCATGCCAGCCTTGTAAAAGATTCGAGTACAAAGTCCAACAAATTCTCAAACTTAAGTCAAATTCTCAAAGTCAAGTCAGAAATATTCAGAAATTCTAATGGACTATTAACTTTCTAGCATCCGATCAACTCAATTTCCAACCCCGCCTCCAAGCGATACCAAGGCATGAAGACAGCAACGTTTGATCAAACTTCGGACGCGCTGCAAAAGTGTAAGACCTATATGTAATGCTATGACTCCTGAATGTAATGTAATCTACTTAACTATATATATATATATATACATAATAAAAATAGTGCTTTCACAGTGCTTTGCACCAGGAGTCACAAGGGGTTGTTTTCAGTCCCATTCAGTGAGTGAATGGGCACCCCGAACCTCCATGGATAGCACCCTTTTGTGCCTGCTGGCATATAAGGTTTATGTTAGTCCGAATCAAGGTTTGCGATCTGCTTCGCCAGGACAGGTGTGCCTGCCTCGGGGCTTTGGGTGGGTGACGAGGCGCCGAAACGGTTGGGGCTTTCCCCCGGAAGTGGGCGGCGCGTAGACGGTCGTGCAAAGTTCTTTTCCAGATCGCCCTGGTTGGCTTGCAAAATGATCACGAATCTAGAACAATCCGCTTGCGGAAGCAGTCTCTTGGTCGCAATTGTTGGAAGCAGCCAGCGGATTGTGCTGATTTGAATGTTGGGTGCGGGTTGCGTGGGTGGGTGTCATTTCCTTTCTGTGCTGCTGTAGAGTAGAATTTGCTATCTTCTCCCGGGAAACTGTTGAAGTGACAATTAGGCTGGCGCCGACTGATACAGAAGCCTGCCCAGTCAGTGAGTAACATGTTCAACAGATTTCAACAGTATGTTCAACATCTTCCCTAGAAGTCCAGTTCGACTGTATTTTGACCGGCTGAAGTAAAGGAAGTTCCCAAACTCAGGTCCCCGTTCGTCAGACCATTGCGTGACGCGACAGGGGCATCGCATCGACTTGGATGACATTGAGGTGGATCAAGAGGAGATGAGGAAGTGGGAGGAGCCTCGGAATTTTGCGGTGCATTTCACTAAACATGCTCCGGTAGTGGCTCCGGTTTGACCTTGGAGGCCTCCCAAGGCAAAGTGGTTGCTGTGAGACAAATCCAGCTACGACGCGTGATGACACATTCTCAGAAGGTGCACAGGATGGATGAATCACGGACAGATGGAGCGCAGTTTTGAGTTTGGAGCGCGCAGAGTAATACATATAGATTGGATACAGTAGAGACAGAGAGACAGAGCAGACAGACAAAGCAGACGGACGGACGGACCGACGGACGGACGGACCGACCGACGGACCGACGGACCGACCGACAGACCGACAGACCGACAGACCGACAGACCGACAGACCGAC